TTTGTGTATCGCATTGTTGAAATGCTGAAACATACCACCAATAATAATGTATCGTGTAGTGTGCCCTATAATTATCAGAAACATAGTAACACCCTCCTCAACGCGCAATTTTTTTCCATATTTCAACAGCTTTTTGTCTTTCAAAATATCACAAAAATTCATGAAAACGAGTTTCTGCATACAAAAATTATGATAGCACACATCCGGATGTCCGTTCAGAATTTCTAGCATGTACATTTTTCCCGTGAGCAATGATATTCTGTAAGGTCTCCTACAAGTGGTACTTCCTTTGTTGGCAACAAAGCAATTAAGCATCATTAAATCTCCAAAATTTGTGTCAAAATCATCCATAAATAACAAATTATCATCACTTGAATCTTCATCAATGGAATCATCGGTACTCACATTATCATCCAAATTTGATTCACTGGTCATACTGTGAACAAAATATATCCAGAGTAATTATCATAAGTCATATCAGCCATCATTGATTCAAATAAAACAAGCAATCGAGCACTGAGAAATTAAAGAAAAATTTACAACATCAGTTCTACAACCAACATCATCACTAAGTTCATAAATGAAAACAGTACTACATCACCAAGAAAGGTAATAAAGGACTTAGAGCTGTGAATATAACATAGTACTTCAACCTTCAACATCACAAATTTAAACAACAAGAGACTAGAGAAATTAAAATAACAATCATATCAAAGTAGATCCAAGATTGATCATCTCCTTGCTTCTGGCATCTTCCCAAATGACACCCTGAAATTGGGATCCTTAAAAACATTTATTGCTTTCATATAAACATCATTGGAGACCCCTTCCATACTGTTTAAGATGTTCAAGCAAATAACATTTGAATAAGGATCCAAACTATTAACTTCACTATCCGATTGATTACATGATTTTCCTTGAATCTTTGCAAGCTTTTCTTTTAGGTAAAGTGTTTTGAGTTCAATTTCTTCGTTCCTCCTACTAACAGGAGATGACCACTATGCCATGCAGACCTCAAGTTTATCACTTTTACTGACCTTAGGTTCCTTACATCGACGTTCACCCGATGTACCAATTTCCTCACTCCGACGAGTATTTGAAACCTCATCAACTTCATCATCATATTCCACACGTACATGCACTCCCATGTTCAAAAAATCATCTTCTAACTGTCTTTCTTCCTTTGATGTATTTGAAAGCTGAGTGGAGGCATTGCCTAATCCTACAGCAGCTGTGGGGTAGTGCTTACATCCTTCCTCTTGAACATTTAGTAATCCGGTTGTTAATTTACCATTGAAAAAAGAAGCCACATTGTCATAGTGATGAAAGAAAAGGGGTACAATTGATAAGATAAAAAAAACTAATGACGAAAATATTCTTTAATAAATATATATACCGTATAAAGTGTTGCCAAACTTCCTCTGCAGCAATAACTTTGTTGGTATTTGGATCCCATGTGACCCCTGTATGTGCCAACAGTTCGGAGAACATACGGTGAATCTTATGTAAGCGGTTCCACTTTCCTTTCAATCTATCTATCCCATAATCCACTTTCGTAGAAGCAACCATTGTTTCATTGATTCTGCCCCATTCGTCTCTTGTGAACGTAGAACATTGCAATGCGTTTGATTTCACTTTCTCGTAAAAATTTTCGATAAATGCGTGTTCATTCTCATCCGACCATGACAATGGTTCCTTATTCTTAACTATGTGACCACCCATGTTCTATATTGAATATAAATCAAATTATCAAGATATATATAAGTCCTTCCATAGGAGATTTGAGGAGGACATATCAATGTATTTAATTACAGTCACATACCACAAATTCTATCAAACATAAAATTAAGAATGGTGATCATATACATGAACTCATCCTGATCATATAAATATCATGGAAACAAATCTAATTGAAGATCATATCAATTTCATGGAAACAGATCTCAATTCTGCACGCAATTGCTTGGAAAAACATCAGTCATATTATTGCCGGTTTAATGGAATGTAATAAAATGGAATTTAAAACAGTAATTAACAATCAATCAACCATGACAAGGTGATCAAACTCTCTACAGTTACAAGGTAACCATCACCAAAAGTTACCCAACTAAAAAGCAAATTAAGAGATTATATACATTATGGGGCCCCATTTAGTTTTATTTTTTACCAGATTTAATCATAAACACTCGTTGAAGTGTTAAACTAGAACATCAACTCCGAAAAATTGCTCTAGGTTCTCAAAAATTTTGTATAATCCAAACCAAATGATGACCAAAATCTATCTTGATGATGCTGAAATCTGATTAAACATTAGCCTTTGTTTGAGCTATACTATTTTTTCATTCTCATTCTTCTACTCATTTTCAACCACACATTCTTCAATAAAATAATATTTTTCATCATATCAATAACTTTTTCTTCTTTTTCAACCACATATTCCCCATCACATCGAACAAAAAAATACATTCTTGAATTTAAAATGTTCACCAAACAGGGGCTTAATATACAAAATCTCCAAAACTAGTGATCTAATACCAATGATCTGAAATCTAATTAAACATTTAAATGATGATCCCACAAATATATAACTAGAGGCATGATTCAGGCATTTTTACTTGAAATTGATAAACAAAAAGCCACTTAGTTTGGTTTTGGAAAAAAATAGAAAAAGTTAATTTCATTTTCTATTGTTTCTTTTTCTTTTACCCATTTAATTTCATCGGATTCTTAAACAATGACGCATCTTCCAATTTCCAAGCTCAGTCCGTGTCAATTTGAGCTTCGTCTACAAAAATGGCTACTGAGTCATTGACACTCACCCATACCGTCAACATCCCAAATCAATCGGGCCAACCAGTCACCACCTCGACTAATCAACCATTTAAAAATAACCAAAAACACCTCAGTTTCTTTATTCGAAAATAAATGCACACATAATTGCTCATAGTAATTTCAATTATACACTCCATAAAATAAAACTGTTTCAAGAAATACCTAGATAGTATTGAGCAGAAAATATGAGACGAGGATAGGAGATGAGGATTAGCCTTTGATGTAGAGCAAACCCTAGAGAACAACTGCTCTTGAATGAATCTTACGGGAGAGAGAGGATATGTGAGAGAGAGAAGCTGAAGGTTTTTTTTTTTTTATATAATTTAGGGGTGTTTTTCTTTTTGGTTTTTAAAAATTTATTTTCGAAAATAGGAAAGAGAATGCGTTTTCACTATTTTGGAAAATCGAAAACAGAAAACGGCATAAAAACAGCAAAGATAATAGCCCCCAAGTGTCCCAACTTTAGCGAATATGACTCTTACATCACTAGACCAATGAAAGCACATGAATACCGGCTGTTGCCCACTCAACATGGGATAAGTATATTTTGTTACCTGCCCTTCTTAAGTTGTACTCTTTTTTATTTCTTTTATTAATACCGCGCCACTACGAGTGGCTTCTATAAATTAGTGAATTTGGATCCTCATGTAATAAAATTTATCAATATAAATATTAAAATTATACACGACTTTCACAAAACTTAAAATAGGAGGGTAAAAACCGTCACACCATTTAACATTATAATCAAAACTATTTTTCCTTTTTCATCGGTCCAAATCAAATAGTGACAACTCACCCCTAACCTCACATCAATCTTGCTACATGTATATTAAATTTGATATTGTTGCGAGGTGATAACTTTTTATGCATTGTTTTAATAACACTTTAAACAATTAATGACATAAATTTTGACACATCACACGGTATCAACCTTTATGTACACTTTGAATATACAACTAACATAATTGAACCTCACAGTCAAGCGCCTTGTTAATACTAAAGCGAACCTAAATATAATGACATCATAACATAATAATTATTTATCCTCTTTCATTCTATCATAATTTATAACATCTAATTTCTTTGGGCGATAGCCTCAAGAAAATAGGCAAAGAATAAACCGAAAGTTTGGAGACGAGAAGGAAAAGTTGAGCCACCAAAAAGTGAAGAGGATGCTGCATAAATGATACAAGATAAGAAAAAAAAAATGTCAGTCTTAGGTGCACAAATATTTTGGAAATCACTTATAAACGATTTAAATTATAAATAAATAGTAGTAAATGATGCATTGATGAGTAGTAATTGCGGATCCCACGAAATGTATGAATAAAATATAATTTAATCGATTATAAACACTATATATAAATTAACCATACACGGGCAACAAAAACTTTGTTGAGTCGTATCATTTTAAAATAGTTACCTCAAACTTTTTTTAAGCGTAAATGATCAATGAACTTACAAAGTTGTTTCAATTAAGTCAATAACCATATCCATCCGCCACTTTAACAAATGTAGTGACATATTCAACTGTGAGACTTGAATGACAAACCGAATTGACAATGTGACAAAATAAATTAGTCAAATCAGTATTCACCTTGCATAAAACGAAGGTTAAACCGAAAGAGATAAAATGTTGAAATAAGTGAGTTGAAAAGGTGAAATCGAATTGCATACAGAGCATACATCTTGTAACTTAATAATATCATCTCATCAAGATCATAATCAGACAACAACAATATTAGACATTTCAACAAAACCCTTCTAGATACTTGATGATTAACTTAACTATTTAAAATCGTGAGTATTATATTAAAATAGTTAAAACTTGAAATAAGTGCATCGAAATCAAAATTGCATAAAGAACACGAGTCTTCTAGCTTATTAATGTCATCTCACAAAGATCGTCATCACACAAGCAACGGCATTAGACACTTCAACAAAACCAATAAAATTAGTAATGGATTCTAGATACGGGATGAGTGACTTAACTAAAATCAGTGACAATAAATGCTAAAAACGTTCAATGACTAAAATGACACGTTTTGAAAGTTTGTGGCCAACATAGTTTCTCACGAGTCATTTCCCCTTATCTTATTTGGAAGTACGAGGCACTAAGCAGCAAGCATTATCCACACACTAACAAGTGACACCCCAGCCCCATCCCCATGTTGAAGCGATCAGGAATATGGACTGCACTTACCTTTCCTCATCTCCTTCCCCCTTCTTCTATCAATCACAGTAACTCAATCCACATTCCTCCATCCTTCATTTTTTCTCTGAAGTTGGATACTGAATCAGTTTCTGCAGGAGTGCAATGCAGTGCTAGACGAAGAGCTTTATTTGATGACGAAGAATACGAGCAGAATGAAGAGATAGGATTGTTGGAAACGTACACTCAATATATGAAAGATGAAGTTCTTTTGGTGAAGGCTATGGTGGATGGAGAAGAAGCTGAAGTTCTGGTCTTCAAGGTATGTTGAAATTGGATTTATCTTACTAAATAAAATTAAGCAATAGAAAGAAGTTAGTTTATTTTTTTAACCCACTAGAATTTTGTGATAATGTGGTTGGTTATTTTTTTATTCAATTAATATCAGGGATTTTCTTCATGCTTGAGTTATAAAACATCAGCAGATACATCAAGAAGTGTTATTCCAGCAAGGGCAGTGATCAAAACCATAGACAGAATAAAAGGGCCTTTCGATCCTTCTAACATCCAATTCATTGAGAAAGGATTGACTTTGGAAGCCTTTAAGAGCCGTCTTCGTTCTGATGGACAGTTTTAAGAAAAATTTTAAAATATTTTTACTCAGTTATGTCCAATATTATTTCCTAAACATGTAACATTTGTAATGAATTTCTGCTTTTATGCAGTGCCATGTCTTTCTTTTTGTTTTAGCGATGTCATTTGACTGCAGCAGAGTTTAGATATGGAATCACTGAGGATACGGAAGATTTGGAGACACAATTACTGGGGAAGAGGTGGAGGCAGGCACTAAACAAATCGTGCCTTCAAAAACTCCAGGCTCTGATGGTTTTCATTGTTGGGTTTATTAATGGGAAGAATTCATAAATAAGGTGTTTAGTTTACACCAATTCAAAAATCATGTTTATAGTTTGAAAATTCAAAAATCAGGTTGTTTTTTTTTTTTTTTTAATTTTAATATAATATAATATAATAAACTCACCCCACATGCACCACCCCTACTACTCCGGGGACTATTTCGGCGACCATTTCGGCGACTGCTCCGATTCTGGCGACTATTCCGGCAATCATTCCGGTCACAGATTTATAATTGAATTAGTCACATATTATTTTTTAGTCACAAATACTAATTTTATACGTCACAGATTATTTAATGGTCACAGTTCAAAAATTTTATACGTCACATTTAATTCGTTGGTCACAGATTTCAAAATTAGTTAGTCACATATCAAAATTTATAGGTCACACGGTCACAAATTTCCAAATTAGTTGGTCACAGATTTTGTACGGTCAGAGATTTAATTCGTTGGTTACAGATTTCAAAAATTTAAGGTCACGATTCAAAAATTTTATAGGTCACAGATTTTCAAAAATTTTATTGGTCACAAATTAATAAATTTGTAGGTCACACAATATTTATTGATCACAATTTATTCTTTATTGGTCACACATCAACCAATTTATTGGTCACAATCAACAAACCATCTGTGACCACCACCAACACAACACCACCGTCGTCTCCACCGCCAACACCATAGAAAGACACCACCGCCACCACATAAACCACCGCAGCCGCCGCCACCACAAACACCCCAGCAACCACCACCGCCGCCCACCCAATGAAAACGACCTCACCACCACCACCAGAAAAAGACCTAGACACCACCAACACCATCCCCCAACAACCACAACCACCACCACCCAATGAAAATGACCACAACCACCGCCGCCTGCACCAACCACCGCTGACCACCAACAACTGTCACCTGCACAACACTACCAAAACCACCAACAACCGCCACCTACACCACACGACCACCACACCATCGCCTACACCGCACCACCAACAAAAACATCGCATCACCCGCCTGCAATGCAACAAAAATCAACCACCATAATCACTGTCTGCACCACGCCACCAACAAAAATCGCCATCGCCACAACAACACAACCATCTCCAACAACAACAACAAAAAAAAGGACCACCACCACAAAATCGCCGCAAGCAGATCTGACCAGCAACGACCATGGTATATCACTACCACACAACCAACAAATCCATCATTGCCACGACGCCGCACACAACACCGCCATCGAAAAACACCACTGCACCTCTACCTCCACCTCCACCGCACCATACCTCCACCGCACACAACAACTCACACCACTACCTCCACCGCACACCACTCACAGCGCCACAGAATAGATGAACTTTCAGCAGTGAAGCCCTCGATTGCTGACGACGCTGCTGAGAACTCTCGGCAACCCTCAATCGTTGTACAGTGAAGAGCGGAGACGATCAGGCATAGAGAAGCCGCCGGTGAAGAGCGGAGGCGATCTCCACCAGTGAAGCCCAATTAGAGTGATCCAACAAAGAATTAAATTGTTGAATTTAGGGTATCTAAATAAAGTTTGGACCAGATTATACGTGTAGAGACCGAATCCATTAGGGCTGTATTTGACAATGTGCCAAATACATATCAAAATTATATATAGAGTTATGGTCTCCAATTCATATACAACTTCTCATTTTTTATGTCATCCCATCAACACATGAATTAATAGAAAAAACATATTGACGAGAAAGATTCAAAAAATCCACAATCAAGATGAATGAATTCAAGAATCAAGACTGTGGATCAAGAAGCAAGACAAGAACAAGAACAAGAATTAAAGAATCAAAGGAACCCAAACATGAAAATATTGCAGTTCAAGCTTCAATATTCAAGGCCTGTTCGGTACAACTTAAAATCAAATTAAAATTGAAAATATGACAGTTATTAGATCCCACTCGTCTAATAAAAGTCAACAATAACGGCTAATTTTTCAATTTTAATACAATTTTAATCTCTACCGAACACGCCCTCAATATCCAGAATCAAAATCCAGGCCCTTGTTTGAGACACATTAAATTTTCATTCGCATTCTTCAACTCATTTTCAACCATACATTTTTCAATAAAATAAGATTTTTCATTATATCAATAACTTTTCCTTCTTTTTAAACCACACATTCTCCATCAATCTACTATTTTAAAATACATTCTTCTAAAATAATGTAGCTCAAACACACCTCAGTAATAAAAAATCATTCTCGTATAAATGTTCCGCATTATTAATTTTCTTGGTGATTTAACATGGAGGATATTGATAATAAAGGAATTTAAATTTTCAAGTTCTAAACTAGTTTTATGAAGTTTAAAGTTCCATAAAGTTTCAACATTTATGCCATGTTTTTCAAACTCATTGGTACTTTACTTGGCAGGGAGTTGTTGGAGACCGTCTCGAAGGTTCTTAATGAAGGTGAACCTCTAAACTATATTAATGGTTCTCATCCCAAGAAGGGGTAAGCTTGAAATGGTGTCGAACTATCGCCTAATTAGCTTGTGCAGTGTGCTCTATAACTTGACCACGATGACCATTGCAAACAGACTTAAATGGGAGCTTCCGGCCCTGGTTTCAGAACAATAAAGTGCATTTGTCCCCCTGATAATATGATTGCTGCCTTCGAGTTGCTTCATTCTTTCGGAAAAGGTTTGAATGCCTTTAAGTAGATATGATAATAGAGGACAATTTTTTTACTTTAAATGGGCTGGGGCAGCCTTGGGATGAAGCCCTGGGTTGCCCCCTCCATCTACCCCTGAGAGTAAAACATGTGATAGGGTGGAGCGAGATTTTAGTGTGTTGGTGATGGAGAGGACGTGATTCTTTGAGAGTGGACACATTCGATTAGGGGTTGTATATCAACATCCAACTTTGCTTTTATGGCGAATGGGATGGAAGGGTAATATCCTTTAGGGGATCGCCTCAAGGTTGTCCCTCTTCACCTTATTCATACATTCTATGGAATTGATATTTGTGCCTAGGTCATCGAGACTAATCGAAGCAGAAGAATGTCTCAGACACCAAGGCATACCTAAGGGAATTTAGGACTAACACTTGACCTATGATGCTCGAACTCGGGTACGGATATCAGGTATGGATAAGTATCTAAGTGTCGGATATTTTATATTTTAAAATGTAGAATACGGGGACATGTCTAAAAAAAGTCCAAATTTCAAACACGAGTACGTGGGTACGTCTTTCAAATTTCAATTTTCTTACTAATCCAAGATGTCATTTTGAATAGACCAAAACTAATTATTTATAATGAAGGGAATGAGTATTTAATAAGAGAGTAAGACGAATAAAATAAAATTTTGGAATTTAGTTTTCAATTATGGGAATTACTAAGCCCTGTTTGACACCCTTTTTTTCTCATTCTCATTTTTTTCTCATTCTTCCTTTCAACCATAAATTCTCCAAATAAAATAATATTACACATAAATCTAAAACTTTTCATCATTTCAAAAATTCTATTCTCATTAAAATGAGATTCAAACACAAGCTAAATGTTATATAAAATAGAAATGAGGAACTTGATTGTAATTTGGACTTAGGAGCACTAAGTAGCACTATATGGAACTCGTTTTCATTTTATACAAACAAAACCCTAAACCACCGATACAGAGAGAGAAAGAAGGAGAAAATGGAAAGAAAAAAGAAAGAGAAAGAAAGAAAACGAAGGTAAAACCTAGAGCTGCCGCCTTTCTCCACCCTCTCAGCAACGACACTATGTCTATAGAGAGCAAAAGTATGAAAGAAGAAAAGGAAAAGAAAAAAAATAGAATAAAGAATAAAAAGAAGGAATAAGAAGAAGCAAAAACGATGAAGTATCCGATTGAAATTTGGAGGATCCGACACATATCTCATATCCATACTTTTGTCATGTAGTGTCCGACACAGGTACTACAACTATTTCGAAGAGTCTGAGTATCAGAGCACTTGACCAAAACATGATTCGAGTCCTTGGCTAAAAACATGATTAAGGGTATCGGATGGCTTTGGACATGAACAGAAACCTGAATGCAAAATTTGATAAACCTACTTTGACGTTAGTGCCCCATGATCTTTGATTGCACATGATCTACTAATGTCTCACTTTTCAGCTGTAGCATCGAAAAATGTGTTTAGTGCAGTTGATAGGATTAAGTGAAATAAAACAAATAAATTGAAAGAAGACATATTTGATGCTCTAATTTGTTTGAAGGAGTAGCAAGTCGTAGACTATATATTAGTGCAATTACTAAAAATCTTCAATAATCATTATCTTCACGGATCTTTTTGTTCACCAAGTTTTAGGTTTGTTATTGTATATTGAAATTTCATTTGTTTTTACAAAAAAATTTATACACAAAATATTTAGGAAAAATTATCCCAAACCCTACATATACACTATATTATTCGAAAATAAAATTGTCTAGTTTTAATTTCACAAATCAGGTGATAATACAGATTTATTAAATTAATTAATACATTATTGATATGGAAACCGTTTTATCACCATTTTCTCTCACTACTCTCTCTCCTCATCAGAGAAACAGTTGACTCCGACGACAAAATGAAGAAGAAAGTTTACTCTAGCGGTTGCAGTTGTTTTTGGGCTTTAGAAGAAACATCCATTTTCTTCTTCGGCAAATTCACAAAAGTCTGATATCACCACCGTTGCGCATGACGTGGCTCATTGCGTACAGCTCATTGT